TTAAGACCCTGCTTTCAGTTATTCTGGATATATACCCAGAAGTAGAATTACTGGATCATATTGTAATTCTGTTTTCAATTTTTTGAGAACCCACCAAACTATTTTCCATAGCAGATGCACCATTTTACCTTTCCACCAACAATGCGCATGGGTCCCAATTCTCCACATCCTTGCCAACACTTGGTCTTTTTGTGTTTTAATAGTGACAATCCTAATGGATGTAAAGTGGCATCTCATTATGGTTTTGATTTGTATTTCCCTAATGATTAGTGATGTTGAGCATCTTTTCATATGCCCCCTGGCCATTTGAATATTTTCTTTGGAGAAATGTCTACTAAAGTCTTTTGCGTATTTTTTAATTGGCTTTTTTTTTTTTTGAGCTGTAGTTCTTATGTAGTCTGGATATAACCCTTTATCAGATACGAGAGTTGGAAACATTTTCTTCTGTTCCATGTGATGCCTTTTCACTCTGCTGTGTCCTTTGCACAGACGTTTTACATTTTAATGCAGTCCAATTTATTTATGTTTTTGTTGCCTTAATTTTAATATTTTAGTTAACCCAATATAATTAAAATATTCAATATGTAATCAACATGCAATTATTGAGATATTTTACATTTTTGCACTAATGTACAATTAGTACAAGGTGTACATTTGTACTTCAAAGTCTGGTGTGCATTTTGTTCTTACAGCAGATCTCATATTGGCCACATTTCAAGTGCTCAATAGCTGTATATGATCGGTGACTGCTGTACTGGATAATGCAGTTCACAGGGTTCATCTCCAGTATCAGAAAGCAGGGGAAAGCAGGAGAGACTTGGAGCTGAGAGACGATAAATTGATAACTGGCACAGGATTATAGTAATTATGTGGTCACATAATGGAGCATTACATATAATTAAAAGGGATGTTCTAAAAAGTTACAGGAATTTTAAGAAAAATTATCTTAAGTTCAAACAGAAACCACCTATGTGGTAATACATCAAAATGTTAAAAATGGTTATCTCTGGAAATTAGCATTGGCTGTTTTGGTTTCTTCTTCCTACATTTATGTATTCTCAAACTTCATTTAATGAGCACGCACAGTTAATTCACATAAAGTTTATGCTCTTGTAGCACAGAAGTGTCCTTTGTAACTCCAGACAGTGGAGCTTATTAGAAGTCTAGGCTTCTAAGTTCAAGTTGGTGACAATTTGAGAGAGAAATGGGTACCCTGGAAAGTGGGATTAACCCCAGTAAATTGTGCAAACCTGAGTTTGTAAGGTGTAAAGATCTTGCCATTCTAAGTTTGAAAGGTCATGACTAGGAGTCCTCAGGGTGGCAGAAAATCTAATCCCTCTGAATTTATGGGACAAGAGACAATGGTTTATTCAGTTTCTGTTAAAAGCTGCTTGTTAATGGCTGTGATTGGAATACTTGACATTGTTCATTTCCTTTTTTCCTCTCGGGGATCAGTGGATTAAAAGGCTGTTATTGGAAGTGATTTATTTTGCCACTTTTATGTAGAACATTTTATCCTCTCTGCTCTGTCATACAAAGTAGAAGTTCTTCTTTCTTTTCCTCAGGGAAGCTGAAGAGTGTTATGATCTTCCTTTGTACTTAGAGAGAGAGAGAGAGAGAGAGAGAGAGAGCGAGAGCGAGTGTGTGTGTGTTGCAGAGGTGGTTTGCTGACACAGCTACAAGACAGCTTGCCCGTTTTGTGGGATTCTCTCTTGTGCTTTGATTCTGCTAACCTGCCTTGACTTTATGCTTGTTTGGCTTACCAAGGGTGAAGGTATATAAGAACAACCCCAAATTTGAATATTAAAAATTTTTTAAAGCAGATATTTATTGACTTTATTGTGTATCTATTATGTACCTTTATTATGTGCTCTATTATGTAATAGACACTGATTTAAGTCCTTGTCATAAATTATCTCATTTAATTCTCATAATAACCCTATGATACATAGGTATGGTTGTTTCTCTGATTTCATATACTGGAAACTAATCCACAGAAGTTTGGTAATCTGCCGAAGGACACATGGCCAGAAAAAGGTTGAGGCAGAATTTAAATTTATAGTCTGGGCCAGGCGCAGTGGCTCATGCCTGTAATCTCAGCATTTAGGCAGTCCGAGGTGGGTGGATCACCTGAGGTCAGGAGTCCAGTACATGAAGATGAGGAAAAAGCTATAGGTTGTGAAAACAGTATCCAGAAGTCAAGAGAGGCAGAGCTAGTATCCTAGCAATGAGTTGGGAACAAGAGGGCTTTAAAGGAGTGAGGGTAGGAAGTCATGTTGGGCTTATATCATGGAGTTCATTGAGGACCACCATGCTAAGGAGTGTTCCTATTTCATAGATGGCGGGAAAGTCAGGAGTTTTTGGATAAGGGAATAGCAGAGCTGTGCTCTTGGATGTCTCTTTTATAGAAATTTTTGTCTTGTGAAGTTGGCAAGATCATTGTGGCAGCTCTTCTTCCCAAGTTGCCCAAGGTCTCTAACTTCTAAATCCCTCTCAAGTAGAGCCTATGTGTCTCTTCCTCTCTGTGTGTCCTGTGCCATTTTATGTCCTCATCCTTCCCAACTCACTCTCTCCTTAAAATTCTTTCTGTCCTGTTCTTCGTGATGTTTCTAATCTAAGGTTTCTATCACAGGAGGAATGAGAGCTGCCAACTCCTGAGTCCATTCCAGAAACCATGGATGGGTTTTCACAGTGCTGTGTTGCAGGACCACGGCTCCACACTGCCACTCCCATGTGCAGTGGCCTTTGTATTTAATCAAATTGGGTGGGGTATTGTAGCCACATAGAAGAGGCTGTTAGTTCTGGCGTTCTGCAAACCAGACCCTGTAGTCAGCTGCTAAGGCAGAACCCTGCTCTGATTCCAACCCCTTGCTGATTGTTTTATGCCCTATTCTGACAGTTCGCTGGGCTGAGTTTGCTCATAACATTCTCATCCTGTTCATTTAGATTTGGGCTGCCTCCTTTTATTGTCTTAAACCTGAGGGTTCCTTCAGTAAGTCCTGAATCTGTGAGGAAGAAATATAGTACCCAGAGAGAAATTTTTCCTATTAAACATTTTACAACTTTTTTTTTTTTTTTTAAATTTGCCAACTGTTGCAAGGTTTAGATCCTGGGGACCTGATTCTGAAAGCTTTTCCCTCGTGGAAGGGTTCACTCAGCTAACCGGAATTTGAACTTAATTTTACTGACCTCCTCACAACAAATCATTATTCTCTGTGTTATGATATCATTGCACTATGTAGCAACCAGCATGACCTTACCGGAAGCTCTTATGTAAGAGATTGCCTAAGTGAAGAAGGCTTCCCTGGTGCTGGTATTGGTGCTTGGTACCATGAGCCTTTGTTGCCTTTTTCCATTGCCTTCTCCCTGGTCTCTGCATCTTGCGGGTCCCCACTGTTGCACATACCTGGGAAGGGGCCACGGGGAGCCTCGTCAAGGCTGAACTGTCAAAGGCTCTTGCTGGTTTGTGTTTCAGGCTCTCGGAGCATGGTCAACAGTGCGGAAACATGCCACATGGGGAGATCAAAGCTTCAGTGGCCAGAATGATGCAGTCACTCCTCTGCTTAATTAAAACCAAGCACACAGGCCTGGTTTTAATTAAGCAGAGTAGTGACTGCATCACTAGAGGCAAAGGGGCAGTTCCAAGAAAAAAATGATGGTGGTTGATTCCTGGCATTCCGTCTCTTAGTCCACATGGGGCCGGTGTTCAAGGAGCACTTGCCTGACTCACTCATGACACGAGCGTGTTTCCATCACACGTACATGCATCCATGTGTTCAGATCAGTTGCTGACACTTGTCCCATCCGTTGGATGAATCAAAGAAATATAGAATTTGAGACGTAGAAGGCACATAGACGTCATCTGGTTTCATTCACTGGAGATGAGAAACTGAGGCCAGAGGGATCCTCCAATAGTTGGTTAGGAGCACAGTCTAACATTTCATGTCACTTCCCCAGTCCCAGTTTAGAGTCATGTTGTAAATGATAAATATAGACTAGATTCTCATTCATTCATTCCACAGATGTTAACTGATCACCAGATTCTGTTTATGAAGGTCTTTGATTTCATTACTGATTTCCCATTCCTCTGGCTTCTTTCCACCTTCAGCTCCATAGTATGGCCCAGCTTTCCATTGCTATGCTAATAGCTTTCCTACTTTCTACTACCAACCAGCAATTTTGAATATGTACAACTGTGCTAACATTTTCCTTGATTACTAATAACAGGAACTACCACTATATTGAGCCCCTGTGAATGCCTGAATCTGTTAGATGCTTTACAGATACGATCTCACTTAATCCCCAGGAAAATATTTTTAGCGGACTTATCCTTCACAACATGCCATTCATATTTTCACAGCTGAAAGGCTGCAAGCTTGAGCAGTGTGTCCAAGGATACCCAGGGAGTAACTAGTGGACATGTCTTTCTACTCCTGTTCATACTTCTGCCATTAAAGCACACCCTTTGCTCATAAGTTACTGCTGTTAAGCAGTGAGGAGTTAGGGCAAATCATCCCTGTAATCTTCTCTCTTCTCTTTCCATTATTTGCTTTCTTGAAAAGAAGACTCAAGCCCCCACATCTTTTTTTTTTCTGGCAGGGGATGGGGAAGTGTATTCCTCAATTTTCCTTCCTTTCTGTTTCCCTTGTTTAGAAATGTCTCTATAAGTTGGAGCCAATAGTTCACAGGCCAGTCCATATATTGCAAAAGAGTCTGGCTGGTTTCAGGCTTCCTAAACTGCATGCATGCTGTACTTCCTCACTGACCTGTCTTCACCCTCCTTCTTAGGCATCAGAGGAGACTCTTCTAGCTAAATTGCTAGTTACTTGAGAAGGAAAAGATTTCATCTTGATGGTAGCATGTTACTCAGAACCTTGGATAACCCCCAGCCCTCCTAAAAACACAATACATGTATGTTAGAAGAAATTTATCTTGATGATTGGTGAGAGTGTGGTGATTTAAACCAGCTCATTTCCCATTTACCACTGAGGCTAGCTCACCTTTGCTGAAGAGGGTTCTTGACTCTTACTTTGTAGCAGGAACTCCTAAGTTAATCAAGCCTTTTCAAAGTTTCAGGCTGAAAGTCAAGTTCTCTCAGGTTAGACCCAATGTTAAAATTTTAACTGGGCAAATTCTCATTAGAGACAAGGGGCCAAAGACTGTGCCAATGGAATCTAATGTCTTTTAATGTTTCTTTCAATCCAGTAAAGCCCTTGTTAAGCCATTTAACTGTAAAATTGGGCCTTGGGAAGGCAGGGCACCCTCTGAAATTAGAGGTCAGGAGATTTGGATTTGATTTCCAGCCCTCTGCCAGTCAGTCAGCCACTCACTTTCAAGTGACAAGCCTTAGGCAAGTCACTTTCTGTCTGTTTCTCAATTTTTGCACAGGGATTTACGTGGGCCTTAAGGACCACTGGGAAACGATCCCTTTTTCAGCTCAGTGCCTGGTTTGTTGAGTATACTTGTTAATCTGGACCTTAATACACCTATGATTTTGGATTAACTCTACTTCTGCTAGAAATTAACACAGAAAATTCACAGTTGATTCACAAGAATGATAATCAATTCTAAAGAATTAAAATATAACCAAATCCTTTATTACTAAAAGAATGCTCAGCTTAAGTGGACACAGATCACTCATTCTAACTTCATCAGCTATAGCACTTAGAGACAACTTTTTGAAAATACACAGCTAAAACTGTCCCTGCTTTAAGTGCTATACACAGCTAAAACTGTTCCTGCTTTAAGCACTAAAGCACTGTGTATTTTGAAAAAGTTGTGTGCTCTACAAATAAAAAGATACTTTTGTTGTTACTTTTGGTCCCCAGGAGAAATGGGAGTCCTTTTCAGAGAGCATGGGAGACACATGAGTCCTTTGCAGTCCTCTTGTCTGCCTCTGGGGGTGAAATGAGAGCGTGAAGCACTTTGGGAGGTGGTCAGGCACACAGCTAGGCTCAGTGCAGAGCAGAGTTGCTGCCCTGGTGGTGTGGCCCCAGTCATCACGAGTCATGTCTGAAAGAATTAATCACATTTCATATGCAAGCATGCTCTCTGTTTGACTGTGCTGTTGTTTTTAATGAGAGCATCATTGACAATGCTTTAATCTGATAGCCCTGCCTAATTGTGTTCTATGTAATAATGCATGGGCTTGAGGAGGAGGCAGGGTTGGGGGAGAAGGAGGGAGGATGGATGTGTGAATTAGGGAAAGGTGTCTCTTCCTTTGGAGCATGGATGGGTTCCAACCCCCACTCACCCCTCAGCTGGGTATCTTTGTGCAGGCCACAGCCTGTGCTACATTAAGCATCAGCCCTAGTTGGGGATAGAGTCTACAGGGGAGAGGTTGGAGCTTCATCAAAGCAGCAACTCTCCTAAGTGACCTCCATTTAACTTACCTGCTGGTCTCCATTCCTTCTGGAAAACATACTACTGGCAACTACTGCCACATGTTTTTGTTATTGTTGTCTTACATGCCACTATAATTTTGTTCCCTCTGTTTGGACTGAAAGCATACAAAGAGCCAATTATGTGCATTCCTAAACTTGTTTGGACAAGTTAAATTTGTTATTGTAATTGAGTAATTTGTTACATAAATGAAATATGAGTGAGAAAAAATAGATGACTAACATTCACTGAGTACTTACTCTGTGTTAGGTACTCTTCTAAGTACCTGACATCTCATCTTCTACAACTGCTGTGTATATAAAAGTAGAATATTTTGAAAAAAAATTGTTAACAGTGAGTGCTACAGAAGTCACCAATGAATTAGTTATAAAGAAGATAGCAGTAAAAAAGTTGGAGGGAAAGTAACAATCTTGAAGGATCCTGCACGCATGTTACCTAGCAAATGTCTCTAAGTTCTTAATCCACTTGGAAAAAAGCAAAATTAGAAATCAGAGTCAATATGTTATTTATGCAAGCAAGACTTTGGGAAATTAATCTGTAGTTCTGTCCCTAGAGGAAAGACCTCCAATCTACATTACAATATCAGTGAATAAACACACATTTATATGTTTTATATTAAAATAAAATGTTTAAGGTATACACATACTATTTTCTATGGTTCTTTGCTTTAACATCTGTTTTGAGTAACAGATACACTTCTACTGGTTATGATTGTGTTGATAAGAAGTCTTTTACTGTAAGAAGATTAATGAAGGCAAATCAGATATGGGCCCCAGCTGATGTGGGCAAGTGCCTCTAGGAGAGCAGATGAAGCTCATCTAAGGAATGTGTCTGTGAAGTAGCCATTGTGATCATCCAGATCATGTTCTCTTGTTGCAAGTTACTATTTTACCAGTTATTGGGTAAATTCCTAAACTTCACTGGACTGCATCAGCCAAGGTTTTGGAGCTCTATTTTGAGTATAATGAAATTTGACATATTATAATGACACTGTCATTTGGTTCCTGTCACCAAAAGGATTTCTTTGTTGTTCCAACGGTCAGATCCTGTGAAGACTGAGAGTGAATACGTATGTATATGCACACGCACTTACACAGATTAACACACATGCTTATATTCAATTAAGCAAATATTCAGTGAGCCTGCTGTATGCCAAGTGATATACTGTGAGTCATAAGGCCTCAAGAAATTGCCTGATATGATTATTGCCCCCAAGTAACCTGGGGATGTACCTAGAGGAGTCACATATCACCAGCTCACCAACTAAGACAGATGGGTTAACAGAGGCTGCTGTGAAGGATGAGGGGAGTGAGAGAGTACCCCATTAGGAAAAGCAGTATGAACAAGCAGAGTCATGTTGCAAAGGGATTATGCAATTCAATGAGTATAATGACCTCAAGAATAATTTACTTTCAGATTACTTTTACTTATGTTTGTCTGATTTTATGCTCAAAATAATTCCAAGAAGTAAAAAGGCCTCTATATTGCCAACCAATACTTGGGGACACAGATATAGAGGAAAGGTGACTTGCTTCAGTAATGTGGCATCAGAGCTCCCTGATTGGTGCTCTCACCACCAGATGGCAGCTTCCTTGGCACATTCACTCACCTGCCACCCTAGAGACACTAATTGAAATCCATACATTAACTGCTCAGGTGAGACTACCTTATTGCCTTATGGTCTGACCTTCTTAATAAGCAGCAACTACTGCCAGCTTACTGAATAGAGGGGCCCCCCTGACTTCCATTATTGGCTCAAGTCCCATTCGTGCTGCACTGTGTGGCCAGTGTGTGTGTGTGTGTGTTGAGGCATGCCTGCTTACCTGGCACGTGGCTTGGGATTTCTGCCTTCTGGCCCTATGGGCAGTGCCTTGGAACAGCCTCCTCATTCAGTGCCTTCTGAACGGTTCAGGGAAGTATTTTTGGCTTATACATTCTGCCCAAGCCCAGGCAAGCTCAGCTGGGCCCCAGAATAGCACTTTGCCTTTTATAAGAGAGGGTTGCATTTGCAGAGGTACCATTAACCACCTGGATAAGGGCTCTTACAGCAGAGCATGCTTTCCAGTGGGAGCCTGAATTACACTGTCTATATGAATTGAAGTCTCCCTTACTGTTCTCCTGCCTCAAAACAAAAACCACAAATATGTGAGTAAAGATAAAACATCAATGTGTTATTTGGTGGCTTTGTGTTTGCACAGGTACACTGTGGAATATATAAACAACCCCAAGGGAAAGATACAAGGCACATGGTCCTTTCTTCATGGTCCATTTATGTATTCCACTCAAATATTTACTGAGTACCTATTAAGCACTAGGTGATATACTAAGTATTGGGGATTTTACTTGGAGCAGTTATGGCCCTGCCCTTGCAGAGTTCACAGTCTGATGGAGGGAGGGAGACAGGTGTCAAGGGATGGTTACAGTGAAGTAGGATAAATGCCATGAGTGCACATTGGAAGCAGGGCAGTGTGCAGTTATGCAGGGTGTGGCTGTTCAAGGGCTCTCGACTGAAAGGATGAGTAGAGGCTGAAATCCAGCCTATCCTCTGCTTCTCAAGACACGTGCTTCCCTAGAGTCAGGGGAGCCTTTTAGTAACTCACAGAAAGGCCCACAGAGACCAGCAGTGACCCTGATGGGAAAGGCACCTAACTTGGATTTAGCATGGAAAGAAAGCTTCTTGGAAGGAAACATTTCAATTGAGACTTGAAAGATTAACAAGAATTAGCCAGACAAGGGAAGCAGAGGAGAGGTGGGAAGGAGTGTTCTAGGCAAACCATAATCGCCAAAACTAAAGATAGTGCTTAGCATGTGCCAGGCACTGAACTGAGTGCTTTAAAAGATTAATCCTTCTAAGGGGAAGTTGCATATGGAACAGCATGGAAGAAACTGAAGTGAGTTCATTTTGGGAAAAGCATGGAGTTCGGAGGAGAGAGAGAGCGTGAAGACTGAAGTGATGATAATAGCTAGTTAAAATTACTTCACACTTGCTCTTTGCTGGGCAACCTTCTGAGTGCTCAGCACATATTGACTCATTTAATCCCCATGACTGTGTGAGGTAGATACTATTATTATCCTCATTTTGCAGATGAATATGAGGCTGGGAAGGATTAAGTAACTTGACCAGGGCTACAACTGCGCAATTTGGGAGAGAGAATCTGCACTCCCCTGACTGTAGAGCCCAGGTTCTTAATCCCCAAACTGCCTCTCTGGGAAGAACTCAAGATGAACATAGGTCTCCAAGGACTGACTTGGCAGAGGAGAGGAGGGAAGGCATTCCAGATGAGGTGGCAGATGTCAACATTAACAAAGCGGGTTCACATTGAAGCTCTGTGAACAAGGAGAGGCTGGCCACATGGTGCCATCTCTAGTCATACTTTTTCAGCAACCCTGGGAAAATGAAAATCCTCGTAAATCACCTCTTTCATTTCTAACCACAATCCCATGAAGGTTGAATGTTGTATCTCCACTGTAACAGTGAAAGAAACAAAGCTCAGGGACAGTAAATTACCTTTTCCCTCAAAACATAGATCTAGAAGTTTTGTTACTCAAGAAGTTCGTTTGTTCTTTTTTACCTTCCTTCATTCATTCATTTGTCATCTATTTACTGAGCATCTACAATCCTTCATTCATTTGCCATCTATTTATTGAGCATCCACAATGTGCCAGACATTCAGCTAGGATTGAGAGAGTAGGAAGTAGGGTATATTCCCTGACCCTAAGTGGATAGGGGTTTTAAGTGATGACAGGTCAGTATGGGTTTTTTAAACACATCTGCAAATTCTTTGACATTCATCTCATTGAAAGATGGAGTTTGTGACTGTTCTTGAATCTGGGTTTACCTTCATGACTTGCACGTAGCCAACAGAATGCAGTGGAAGTATGCAGCTTCTGAGGCTAGGTCCAAGAAATGGTCAGTCAACTATTGTTCACTATGAGGAGCACTAGCTGCCAAGAAAAGAAAGAAGTCTAACTAGCCTGACACAGCCATGCTGGAGAGGCCAAGTGTGGGCACTCTGGTGACAGCTCCAGCTGAGCTCCCAGTGATGGCCAGCATCATCTGTCAGCTGTGGGATTGAGCCATCTTGGACATCTAGCCCCATCAAAATTTCGGATGCAGCTCTAGCCAACATCTTACTGTAACTTCATGCGAACCCCAAGCAAGAACTGCCCAGCCGAGCCTCTCTCACATTCCTGTCCCACAAGAGTGTGAGTAAAATAGAATGGTGGTTATATTACAGATGTAATTCATTATATAGAAATGATAGCTGTAATCATCAGCCTCCAAGAATTGAAGAAAGCAGCAACTCAGGGCACCCAGTAGAAATAGGGCTCAAGTCACTAGAGAAGAAAATTGCTAAAATCTGGTTCAGCACTGAGTGTAAAACCTTCAGCTATCTCCTAGCTTTTATTGCAAATTGGTCTTTGGGAAGGAGGGGTGCAGGCAAAACTAGAAGAGAAAAAGTGAAATGAGCATTCTTTAATAGAGTAATTTATTTTACTTGTTGCTTTGAGTTTGAGCTCCTCCTCCATATATGCATACACACATATGCATACACCCACACACAGTAGGCAGCGCAGGAGCCTGATTAAACAAGAAGTTACGATTGTCCCCAAGGGAGCCTACTGTTCTCAGTCTCTGAGCTGGTAATGAGTTATGCTATCTGCTTCTGCTAGGAGTGATATCCTGATTAGTTAAACTGTTTACAAAATTCTGTAGTGACTTTACTTCTGGTGTGTCTGTTGGAAGTTTATTGTAGCAGAGAGGGGACAAGGGCATTAGAGGTATAAGGGCAGCAGCTAAAAGAGGAAAGCCTGCTTCTCAGGGTTGCATCAAGCACTGGCTAGGTGAGAGAGAAGCAGGTGAGGTAGGTAATGATGAGGGGCAATGGGCATGGGCTCCTGCATAAAGAGCAGTTCCTCTTAGAGACCAGGGTATTCACTGCCTACATTCTGTGTCTCACCTTTGCTTTCCTTCTTCCTGTGAATATGCATGGAAGAAGAAAACAGGGAGGAGAGATGATGGTGATTAGTAATGTGTTCCATCTATAGCCCTGACCCCCTTGGGAAAGAGACAGGGAAGAAGGTAGTCTCCTTTCAGATCAGTCTGTCTCTGAAGAGAAAATCCTTTCCCCCTCTCCAAGGGCTTGCCTTGCTCTCTTCATAAGCCATCAACTGTGGTGGAAGTCATATGATGTCACCAGAAATATCTACAGGCAGCTCTTGGGGTTAATTGTGAGAGGCGAGGATGTTCCAGGTAAATATTCTTCTTTAATTAATGTTTCTAATTTTTAGTCAGTTTGAAATTAAAGAACTTTACCCATGGGCCATCTGAGATGCTGGCTGTTCATTCTTGCAGGGATGCACAGGACCATTTTTCAAACTCATTTAACCTGCAAAACAGCTGTTCTAAGAATTGTTGGAGGACCTTCTTCCCCTCAAAGTGGGTGTGAGTGGCAGGAACTTGATTAGGATTCAATGTTGGTATTGCCTGAGGCCTGTCATTTGAGGGAGTGTGTCCCAGGTTTCCACTAGGAGGTGACTTTCCTCCTATCAGAGCTCCGTCTGGGTTTTCAAAGACATTGTATCATTGGCACAGACTCACTTATAAGTTGGAGACTGGCTCAATGAGGTGTATCGAGCCTTGAAGTGTTTTCACCTGCTCTGCTGTGAAAGTCAAATTGTATATGTTTATATCCCTGAAGTTGAATGAGTAGGGGAGGATGGAGGAGAGAAGGATCCAGACTGGTGGGGCAAGATCTATTTAGGGAGTACCTAGATTCCAAGATTCCGCCTGGCAGGTGTTGGAGGAAACCTGTTTCCCCTCTCAGTTGAGGCAAGGTTCTTGCTGGAGTCAGCAGTTGATTTTCATCCTCTATGAGACATATTCTCAGAGACTGTTCCCTTAAACCAACCTTTGTTACCATCTTGTTGAATTTAAGTATGGTACCTAAAGACATTTTCAGGACTGCTCCAAATTCTATGTGGTTTTGAATAAATAGCTATATTTATTTGCTACTGGAGGAGAACTTAGAGATAATTTAGGTTAGCTTCTGCATATTACAAATGAAGAATGTAGTGCTTTGAAAGATTAAGTGTTTTGTCTGAGGTTATACAACTAGCTAGTGACCAAGCTAGGAACAGAACCCAGGTTTCTTGGCTCTCAAATCTGCGTTATTTCTGTTATACTATATTGGTTTATCTAAAGGAGTACCTGTAAATGGATTTAAAGCAGAGTTTCCAGATCATTCTTTGTTGTGGGAGGCATTGTATGATGTTTAGCAGCATCTCTGGCCTCTACCCACTAGATACCAGTAGCAACCATTTCTACTGTCTAGTTGTGACAAAAGCTTTTCCAGATATGGTCAAGTATTGCACGGGGGCAAAATTTCTTCCAGTTGAGAACTAATGATTTAAAGTTAGTGCATCTTTAGAGAAGAAATGGGCTTATGTTAATTCCTTCTGGGTATGTGTTGAGTATACATGTATTTGAATAACAGGGATATGAGAAGATCTACTTCCTAATTAACATGGCTATATAGGGTAATGGGAGCTTGAGGGAAGACCGTAACTGCCTCCTCTTTTATGTAAATGCTGAGGTTGTATGCTACCATGTAGAAGAGGAGACAAGAATAGAGTGAGGAAAGAGAGGAAACTAGTAGGATATCTTGTTTTTAATTTGGGGGAGGCAACTATTATGAACATTCCTGTCTAAAGGACTTGTATTCAGAAGATAAAAAACTGTTAAACATTTAATAAGAAAACAACCCAATTTTAAAAAGTAGGCAAAAGATTTGAACAGATACATCATTGAAGAAGACATAAAGATGGCAGATATGCATATGAACAGATGCTTAGCATCATTAGTCTTAAGGAAAATGCAAATTAAAACCACAAGAAGGTACCTCTGCATAACTAAGAATGATGAAAAATTTAAAAGATTGACCATATTCAGTGTTGATGCGGATGTCAGGGAACTGGAATTCTTACATAATGCTTGTGGGAATGCAAAATGGTACAGCCAGTTGGGAAATAATTTGGTAATGTCTTAAAAGGTTAAACATACACCAACCATATGATCCAGCCATTCCACTTCTAGGTATTTGCCCAAGAGAAATGAAAGCATATGCCTGTGAAAGCAAATGCAAATACTTGTATATGAATGTTCATAGCAGCTTTAGCTGTAGTAGGCAAAACTGGAAGCCACCCAGATGTCCATCAGCAATTGCCTTTTAGACATTATTTTGTGAATGAGACATTTTATAATCCTGTTGGCTAATCAATTTTGGTAGAGAAGTGGATCAGACTGAACATCTGTTTATGGCAGAATACTGGTTTGATTTCTAGGTGTGTCAGAATGTCTTTAAGTATTCTCTTTTGGCAACTTGATTTGGCAATGGAGTTGGTAAGCTTCTATAAGTCCCAGGTGGGCTATTTTAATGATGATAGTTTATGATGGATTAACATTTATGTTTTTCCTTAAGAGGACACACCTAGCTCCAACTGCTAGCTCCTTTAAAGCCTTTTATTTATACAAACATTAAAACATTTGAGGGGTCAAAGTGTCATTGGTTACTATTGACCTCTCTCCGAAAGACGGCAGGCCAGGTGCCCTTAGGGCTACAGTTGTATCCAAAGAGTAGAAAATGGGAACCAAGAAAATGTTTCAGGGGAGGGTAAAGTGATCTACTCCTGCTCCAGAGGTGACTTAGACTTTTGTGATATATGTGGGTTGGTTGAGACTTGTTTTAGAATCCATTTTTTATTTAATCCTTTTCTTTTTCTTTCCTGTGTATATCTCAATATTCAACACATACTAGCTCCTAGTATGTGTTGAATATTGAGATACACACAGGAAATAAGACAAGGTCCAGTACTGTCTTTTAACATCTTACAGTCCAGGGAAGAGAAAGACAAATGTGCAGGGACAGTACAGAATGATGAATGGCGTGGTGGAGGTGGCCACTGGATGCTGCCAGCAGAGCACGCAGGCTAGATCCTTAATGAAGAGTGAGGTAGGAATTGGTCAGGATGCTCTTGAGTGTACCTCCTCAATGTCTTAGATTGGTGCTGGCTGTTATGGTGTGCATGCTTAGAATTACTAGGAAAACATATAATTCTTGCTTTCCAGAAGATTTTAGTCTAGTTAAGGAGAAGAGATTAATATACATAGGATTAAGAAGGTCATGTGTTGATAGTAGTATTGTGTAGTAGACATAATACTGTACAAAAATAATACAGAAATAATAATTCTGGCCCAGGATCTGCTCCTACTTGACTCTGTAACCTTGGGAAAGTCATTTACTGGGTCTCTTGGCCTCAGTTTTTACACTCTAAAATGAGAAGCCTAGATAACAGTATGTGATATGTTGGGTCTCTTCCAGCTCTGTCTGCCTGTGCTGTGAGGGTGGTTGATGGCAGACCTGGACAGGAATGGGCATAGCCAGTTTGTCCTCACTAGAGAGATTTGCCTCAAAGAAGCAGAGAAGTTATTGTCGAGAAGAAATAAAATCCATTATAAGGTTGCGTAAAACTGCAGGAATCGGAATTTTAAACTTTGGAAGTCATTTTGTGGGAATCATATTTAAAGCTAAAACTGAGTATGAATCTCACCTTCCTGGGAGCGAGAACATTAGTCCACTGGCTGCTTTTCTTCAGTAACCCTTTTTGATTGTCTAGCTTTGAATTGGTACTAGGTTTCTGATGGTTATTAATAGAAATGTATATATAAGAGTGAGAACTCCTAGCATGGTTTTCATTGTCTTGGTTTCTTCCTTCCTGGCATGTAGAATTAGCCAGTGTCACCAATCCCATGATTGAAAATGCATTTTCTCTCCTTGCCCCTTTCTCTCATAATTCTACCTCATACCTCAAGAAAGACGCGCTGATATAAGGGTATCCCAACACTGCACAGCAGTGTTATTTGAAAGAAAAACATAAATAAGGAACTTTTGCAGAACCAGAGGAAAGGAACTGCATTTTCTTTCTCTGCCCCATCCGGTAGCACCTGAATGCCTCCTTTGTCTGACTCCCAGAGTGCCCAGGGTGTAGTAACCTTTCCTGGAGCAGACATGGAGTACCGTAGGCCCTACCTGGCAGCTTTGTGAGTGCTTATTTTGTAAGATGGATTTCAAAGTTTACGTTGTCTTTGTAAAGGGTCTGAAAGACATGGAAGAGACTTTTTGGACTGGGGTAACAACAATATAATTTCTACTCTTGTTTCTGTTTCCAGACTCGAGAGCGTTCAGAACTCCCATTTCTACATGTACCAGGCTTGAAAACTTACCTACAAAAATCATTTTTTGTTCCCCACCAGTGTCCTCTTTCTTTCCATACCTACTATGCCAGAGAACCTTTCCTACAGCTTCAGCATCTTATTCTCTATTGAAATGTAACTTGCCAACACTACTTTAGGAAGACAGGTCTAATTATCAGAGTTGATGTCTACACATGATCTGACGGCCTAAATAAGAAAGAAGGCTGTGAGGACACATATTCCATGTTATCCACAATTTTAATGTCACAGTAACTGGTAGGGTGCCAACCTTTCAAACAGAGCTGGATGACGCAAAAGGATGTATTATGGTTCTGCGTGGAATAATTAAAATCAAAAGCTGCTTGGGTGTGATGGCTTACACCTGTAATCCCAGCACTTTGGTGTGATGGTTTACACCTGTAATCCCAGTTCTTTGGGAGGCTGAGTTGGGAGGATCACTTGCAGCCAGATGTTCAAGACCAGCCTGGGCAACACAGTGAGAACTCCACCTCTAAAATATATACATATATATATATATATAAATCAAAAGTCCTTTGTTGATATGGGTGTGGCATTTTAGGTAACTAACACCATGGTGTTTGACAAGTGATAGCATAATTTCTTGATAAGGCTTTATCTCATATGAAGTGCACTGGCGGTTACAATCCCCATGAAATAGAAGAGATAATTGAGGCTCAGGCAGGTGAAGTGCCCAAGATCTTGCAAATAATAATTGATAAAATTGACCTTCAAATTCTGATCTTCTGACTTGATGCCAAGTCTAGTATGTCTTCCATTACCCATATGCTTTTCTATGTGTTATTTATGGAACTTTTAAAATATACTATTATCTTCTCTCATTAGATTAAAAAAAGTCAACTCTCTAATGGCAGTGGCTATTAGGAAGTAGTAGAAAAAATCAGTAGGACTTGTAATATGCTCCTCTTTTACCTGAAAAAAAGTTTTCAACAGAAGAGAGGGAGCAGACAGCTTATATCAATTTCCTTATGACCCTGTAGCTTCAGGGGTTATGGCCTGGACCATACTGATGAGCCTCATAACTGAATGTTTCTCTAGTGATCCTAGTTGACAGGGCCCTCCAACAGATGGGTGTGGGTCATTCTGTATGCCACTTCATTCACCCCAACTCCATCGACACAAATAACAACAAACCATAAACACTCATGTCCCTAGTTCATTTCATCTGGAGATTAGAGTTTTCATACCATTAAAGTCTTCGGGGACCCATCTCAATATGTTTTTTTCATCTTGACTTAAGTCCAACTCTTCTTGTTTCCTTCTCCATCAAACCACAGCACCCCCCCTTCCTTTTGTCAAGGGGTGATGGACAATAGATGATAGCAACAGTTTCTATGGTAACAGCATCTGAGTTATCTCCTTGGAAACCTGCATAAAGGCTTTCCATCTCCAGACCAGCTCAGTGCAACTTTGAAGGCCTTTGTTCCCTTGAATGGATCAGCATGGGGGAGCAAGCTCTCCCGGGGTTTGGCCATTGCAGTTTCCTTTGGTTCCTGATGCCCATGGCACTTTGGATATAGAGTTGGATTCAACCAAAGGTGGGGGATGGTGGGACCTGGAGTGCTTTTCTCAGCCTAGCCCTTGGCCAGAATGCATTGTCCCTAGTCCAGCACCAGATACCCTGCAGATTTAGCCAATAAGTGTCTCGCTTTTTAAAATGTCCATATGACTCAGCCAAGCTCCCACAGCGACCATCTATGGATCAAAATAAAGCAATGTCTCATCTGAACACAGATGAGCTGGGTATTTTGGTATTGTCACAAAGAGAATCCTGAAAGAGGGCACCATGGGGCAGCTTGTAAGAGTCCCTTTCCTTATGGTGTCTTTCAAATGCAGCAGTTTTGTTACTTCAATGAAAGCAGAATGGTTTCCAGCAGCTAAGAGGATTAATTCTCTTGTCATCATCCACACCAAATAAGAATCACAAACATTTCCATTGTGCTGCATATTTTGGAGATCATTTTCACATACATGAGCTCAATTAATCATCTATTCAATGGTTGAATGTGTGTTAATTTGAAACCTACTATGTGCTGCATAGGGTATTAAAATTTGGGATACCATCGTGAGAAAAATAGACACGGTCTCGGCTCTAAATGAGAAAAATAGACATGGTCCTGGCTCTAATGAAGTTTACTTACAGATAAGAAAAACAAGTGCTAGTTAGATAATTATGCATAAGTGTAAAAATTCAACCAAGATCTACTCTGAAGGAGAGAGTCCACAGTATCAGTGGGCACAAGACGGGGATTTGACCACTGGGGGCATCTTCCCTGGAGAAGTGATGAATGAGTAGCAGTGAACTGGACCTTTTGTAGATGAGGAAGTAAAGACTTTGCAGGGTGAAGAGACGTCCCTATGATCACATAAACTGCTAACTGACAGTCCATCCCTGGAATGTGAACCCAGTAATCAAGCAGTCAGATCCCATGTCCTGACTCTCCCATGTCTGTTTCCTTGTCCTGACTCTCAGAGCACAGCCCAGTCAGTCCTAGACCAGGTAGCCAAGGAGTGCTCTCCCATCTCGCCTTTCAGGTCTTATGTTGTCCTCAGAGAGGTTCTTCCCAGCTTCTAGGACCAGACCAATTGCTTAATTGCCCAAGGGGACAGTTCTAGGAATTTTCTGTTTATACAGACATCCTCCTCCAAGGTGTTACCTGATCATTGAAGTTAGCCTTACTGGGGGTGTTGACCTATAAATACCTTTAGCACTCTTGAGAGGCTAAAAGTTTTGAAACACCTCTTCTCTCCAAAAAAGGATGGAGAGAGGTTAAAAAAGAATATCCACTGATAGAGTGTAGGACCTCAGAGAGAGATTGTTTTAGCCAACATTTGGAAGCAAAGCAACAGGAGAAGCAGGCGGATCCATTTCATTCATACTCTAGGCCCTTCTGGTTCCCTGTGGTTATATCTCCATTTAAGGGGCAAAGAAAACTATTGTCTCCTCCTTAGAGGACTGGGAAAGCCCTCCTTCTGCAGTCGTTGGGAATGAGTGAGTCAGGCAGGGGAAGGTGGGGTGGGGTAAAATGGTACCACCCCCGTGCAGCAGCCGAGGGAGCTACTGTGTGCACAGCCCTATGGTGATGCAATGGATGTCCATATTTAGGCATTTGCCTACTTGTTACATTTTTTAAAACAAGAATTTAAAGGTGGCAGATTCCCCCTGGCATGTGAAGAGTATGTGAGACTACCTTTCTACCTATAGCTTGAGTTCTTCCTCCTTCTTATCCCTTTGTGGATACCATTATCAGTCAGACACATTTTTCTTGAGCTTTCGTAACTCAAAAGGGTTACTTCTGCTTTCTGCCTTGACTTCCCAAACATACTGGAACTTTGACTGCTCCCTTTATCTCTGGATCACTTGCCTATCATATTGGGAAGGGAGGAGAATTTAGGTATTACTTGCTGTGCCCTCTGTCTTGAGCTTTTTTTTTTTTTTTTTTTTTTTTTAGATAATGTCATAAGACTACTACCACAAAAATCACCTGTTTATCTATAAATTCCTTAGTATGAACTCAGCTAATGCCTGCAGCCTATGAGCTGTGCTAATATGTTAGTCTGAGTAACAAAATATGGTGCCATGCCATCTTTGGGCTAGACCATCCTGCTCTCCTACTAGGACCTCTCAGGTCATGTCCTGCTGTCTCTGCCACATCTTCCCTGAGTTCTTCAAATTCCCACAACCCCTGCTCCTATGCCATTCACTTGCCATCTTTTCCCACTACCTTGTCATTATGAGTCAACGTTTTGTATGTCCTTGTCCTGTTTCTCCAGAGAGAACATGAAGATCCTGTATTATTGAGCAAAA